ATTAAGATGGTCCATGTTAACGTGAGCTATCCGACGATGCCATAGCCACGTTTCTTCCTCTTTGGTAATGAGGCACTTAGCTAAGATAGACGGGGAATTTTCAAGATCAAACATATAAATGTTATCTACTCTACTACCACAAAGAATAGTCCTATTGTCACACAAGCGTTCTACAATGCATTTACTAGAATCAAAGATGGCACGGTTACCTCTATCGCACAGTTGGCTAATGCTAAGAAGATTGTGCTTGAGGCCCTCAACAAGAAGAACGTTCTCAACGGTTGTAGCATTGTCTCTTCCGACGGTGCCACTTCCAATGATTCTTCCCTTGTTGTTGTCACCAAAAATGACATTGCCGCCTTTGAAATACTCTAAACTCCTAAATTTGGATGCATCTCCGGTCATGTGCTTGGAGCATCCGCTATCGAGATACCAAGAGGTACTCGAAGCCTTCAAGCACACCTACAAAAAGATATCAAGGAGACGGTTTAGGTACCCATATATTGTTGGGTCCTTTTTGGTTAGCATATGTGCGATGTGTGTGCGTTTGTTGAAAATGCCTAATTTTGTTGAAGCACACGGGTGCAATGTGACCTATCTTATTGCAATAGTGGCAAATAACATTTGGATTATTCATCCTATATGATTGAGTGTAATGAGTTCTAGGTTTGCTAGGATGTGCTCTTCTAGTTTGATTATTTATCCTAGCATTTTTATTCCCCCTAGCTTTAACAAATGTTGTTTTTCTAGGTTGGTTTTTCTTATATCCAAGTCCTTCACCATTACTAACTTTTGCTTAAGAATTTTATTTAAGGTGTTTGAAGCATTATTGAACTTTCCCAATTTACTTTCTAAAGTAGAAACTTTAGCTTTTAATGAAGTACAACTAGAACATGTAGAAGAAGAAGTAGTTGAAGGTTCTTGTGGCCTTTTTCCAAAAGATATAATTTCTTGTTTAAGTTTATCATTTATATTTTTGAGTTCTTTTACATCTTTCTCAAAAATCAGGATTTTTTGTTTAACTTCATTATTTTCTTTGGAAGCCTTTTTGAACATTCCTACTAAATCTTCTATAATGCAAGCAACATCATTATGAGTTAAAAAATCATTGGGAGAAGGTTCTTGATCACTTACCTCTTTTGATGTATCACCATCTTCAATGGCCATGAGACATAAGTTGGCCACTTCCTCCGTTTCCGAGTCTTCACTCCCGGAGCCGTCGTTCTCCCAAGAGATGTAAGCACGTTGCTTCTTCGGTGCCCTCTTGTCCTTCTCGTTCTTGAGCTTCGGACACATTGGTTTGATGTGTCCAATTTCACCACACCCATAGCATTTGGGTGGAGTGTTCTTCTTGGCTCCCTTCTTGAGCATCATCTTCTTGAATTTTCGGACAAAGAGTCCGAGGTCGGTGTCGTCGTTGTCATCATCTTCTTCATCAACGTTGTTGTGGGTTGATGTTGTTGCGGGTAGAGCAATAGACCTCTTGTTCCTCTCTTCAACCACCTTTGAGAGTTGGGTGGTTTCGTAGGTAATAAGATTACCTCGAAGAGCATCATAGGTCGTTGTTTGGAAGTCACGACCTTCTTCGATTGCGTCCACCTTTGAACGCCATTTGGGGGATAGGCTTCGCAGCACCTTTCTCACGAGCTCTCGGTCGGTGTATGTCTTCCCAAGAAGATTGAGAGGATTGATGATGTTAGAGAATCTCTCAAACATTTCCTCAATCTTCTCATTTTCCTTCATTGAAAAGAGTTCATACTCGTGAGTGAGATGGTCGATTTTGGCCTCCCGAACCTGCGCGGTTCCTTCGTAGGTGACCTCCAATTTTTCCCACATTTGTTTTGCGGTTTCACACCGCGAGATTTTGCGGTAGTCATCCGCATTAACACCGCAATAAATCATGTTTATTGCCTTTGCGTTGAGCTCCATCTTTTTGCAGTCTTCGTCGGTGAACTCCTCTTCGGTTTTGGGAATGTTGACTTTACCGACTTTCTTCATCGGGACTCCGCAGCCGTTCTTTACAATCAACCACAGCTTGTAGTCGTTGGATTGGATAAAGATTCTCATCCTCTCCTTCCAATATGAGTAGTTTGTTCCATCGAACAAAGGTGGCCTCGTGGTTGATTGTCTCTCGGTCACTCCTGCGTTGAACATCCTTGATGCCATTTGATCTTTTAGTTCCTGAAAAAATAACGTATTCGAAGAACTTCCCGCTCCGATACCAATTGTTAGACAAATGTGCAACTCTAGAGGGGGGGGTGAATAGAGTTGTTTTCAAGAATGTGCATTTTTCGCGTGTGTGAAATAATAAAATCGCAGGAATAAATAAAGAGAGTAAGGGAAAGAAGAACACCGAGATTTCTACTGGTTCACCACCTCGTGGCTAGTCTAGTCCTCCGAGAGACTCTCTCGAAAGTCCTACTAATCTTCAAGCTTCAACGGGTGCTTGAAAAACCGGTACACCTTGAGAACTTGAATCACACAAGCCTCACTTTCTTACAACAACAAGACTTGAGTCACACAAGGCTTAAGAACAACACTCAAATGAGATTGAGTTTACAACACAAGAATGAAAGCTCACACAATTGAGCAAAGTAGTGTTGAAGAATTAAAGCTCTATGGATGACAACTTCTTTAGCACTCAAAGAAAATATTTCTAACTCTCAAAAATAATATTTTGATGAGGAAGATGAAGCAAAGGATGAATATAGCTCAAAGAATATAT